TGTTGTCATCCACGGGCGCATGTAGTCATCCACGGGCGCATATAGTCATCCACGGGCGCATATTGTCATCCACGGGCGCATATAGTCATCCACGGGCGCATGTAGTCATCCACGGGCGCATATAGTCACCCACGGGCGCATGTTGTCACCCACGGGCGCATGTTGTCACCCACGGGCGCATGTTGTCACCCACGGGTGCATGTTGTCACCCACGGGCACATATAATCATCCGTGGGTGCTTATTGTCACCCACGGGCGCATGCTGTAGTCCACAGGCGCATGTTGTCGTCCACGGTGTTGTCACCCACAGGCGCATTTTGTCACCCACGGGCGCATGTTGTCATCCACGGGTGCATGTTGTCGTCCACGGTGTTGTCACCCACAGGCGCATTTTGTCACCCACGGGTGCATGTTGTCACCCACGGGCGCATGTTGTTGTCCATGGGCACATGTTGTCACCCATGGGCGCATGTTGTCACCCACGGGCGCATGTTGTCGTCCACGGCGCATGTTGTCACCCATGGCTCATGTTGTCACCCATGGCTCATGTTGTCACCCACGGGCGCATGTTGTCATCCACAGGTGCATTTTGTATAGCACTTCTGTTTCTATTCAGAGTTGTCAGATTTTATTTTTCACCTACCCCAAAATGTCAGCCTGATAGTTCTTCCAAAAAATTTGGCTTTTATTTCTGAGGTACATGATGTGAAGTAGTATTGTGCTTCAGAATGGTTTCAGTGACAGGAAATGAAGTGATTCCGTGTGACAGTAAGGAGGCAGCCCCGCAGCATGTCTGTGACTGTGTTGCCTTTAGGAAGTAATTTGATTTGATGTAAATATTTTTTGTTGAATTGGGGGAGGCAGTGGTGAGTGTCTGGAACATCCATTTACTTTTACGTATCAATTCAGACAGAGGGTTGTTGATGCCCAGCCGGATACTGGCTAGTGAATGCTGCCTGTCCCCTGTGGTCAGTTTTACTAATAAGGTAAAAGCTAGAACTACAGTACAATGAATCTGGATTCTCTAGAGCTCAGTAATCTGATTCTCTCCTGCTGAGCATTCAAATAGTGAAATTCAGTAAAATTTTCTGTCTCCCTGTTTGCAAACCCAGCCCTTATTCCCATCAACGACCAACTTTTCACCTCTCCCATCTGTGTAGGAGCATAGTTTGTGCCAGTAGGTGGTGCTGTTTGCAAAACAAAGTGACAATTGGGTTCCTCTCTGGAAATGGAGATCAACAAGAGAAATTTCTGGCTTTGCTGTTTACTTTTTATCTCACATTTCATAAATCAGCACCATCTGACATAGTTCTCATTTGAATTGTTGCTTCTTGATATTCAAATCAGAAATACCACAGTTGAGATAATATTTGTGCGCTATCTCAGGTGCATTGTAGACCCAAGTGCTTAGATTAACGACTCCAATGTTGCCTCCCATGGGTTTGCACAGACCTCGCGTGTTCCCATGGGGATGTGAGACCTCACCGCCTCTGCATGCTCTGCCCACCAGGCAGGGATATTTGTGTGTCCTGGTTGGGAATGGAATGTTTAATTCGGACCTTCTCCACCTCAGTCCTCACCCCCACCCACCCAGTACCTAATCCTGAGAAGTCAACGGCTCCTGAGGGTTTGGCTATTAGCATTCCACATAGAGGAACTAAGCCCAGGAGGGGAAATGGATTAAATAGCACCCGGAGACTGGGCTTCTGGCTCTCATCTGGTTACCAGGTGACGACAGCAAGTCCTTGGACTCTGGGCCTTTGTCTTCATCTGTAAAGTGAGGGAAGTGAACTACTTATGTCTTAACAACAAATTATCATGGTATTGGATTCCCTCATATTTAAGCTGTACCTGAAATGTTTCTGAACTCAATAAAGTCTTTATGAAATGCCAAGAAAAACAAAACAAACGAAACAAAAATCAACCACCAAATGTAGCACCAGTAGATGAAATACGTACTCTATCCACATGCCATCAATGGAAGATAACCTGGTTTGTCTTTTGCCTTGTTCAGCGAGCTTTGTGGGCCTGGCCTATATAATTGCCATAATTATTACAGACAGGGCCAAAATGTTCTTGGATCATGCGATTAACTCCCCGCACTCCAAGTCTGGGTGTGGGAGAGTTCGGCCACGAGTCCCATTCAGACTTAGTTTCTTTACTGTCATCCCCGCAGGGGAGCAACATCAAGACGCAGTAACATTTCCCAAAAGTCGCAGAACCCAACGTGGCTGTAAAGAACCACTCTGTTTTTAAAAACAGAATACGGAGCATATTCGTCTACCAATGTATAGTGTACCTGTTAAATAATCCTGCCTCCCAGACCAGATGATTAACACTTTCTGAAACTTATTCACTCACTGTCCTTTATGGCTGTGCCCCCTCCCTCTTCGCCCCCTGGGTTCCTTCCTGTGAGGGGCTATGAATATTTGCGGGGCTGTGTCTGCGTCTTTCTGCCTCTTTCTGTGCCTCTCTGTGGCTTCACTCCACCCTCTGGGTATGTTGGCAGGCCTCCAACTTGCTGTGCATTTGATGTGTGGTTTGGCCAAGTTTTCAGAGGAGTGTGGAGTTGAGAACCAGCACCCAGTGAAAGGCCTGTGTAGATTAAGCTCTGGAAATGTATAAACCAACAGAGATCAAATACTTGAATGGATGGGAGATCATTTCTCTGTAAGAAAAAAGAAATCAAACCAGTAAGACAAATTAGTTCACTAGATTTTATTCTCACAAGGTATAGAAATTTTTCAACACATTTATAGTCCATATGAACTGTTGGTTGAGGCTGTTTGCATCTCTCTGTTTATATATAATTAATTTTTTTGATCCTTGATTTTATTTTATATTGTTTAATTCTTTGTCACAAACTGCCAGGTTTTTAAAAACTCTTTCTACTGTACCTCCAAAATCTGCCCTAAATCAACAGTGGAATATTTACTCCGTACTCTTGCCTGAGAGCACATTCTCTGTAGTGTGCCGTTAAGCAGCTAGCAACAAGGTCTGTTTCATACCCTCACATGATCCACTGAATGGGGAGTGCAGGAGAGGTGTGCACATTTTGCCATCTTGGTGAGAGACTGGCTTTGCTCACAATCTCCTTTATCAAAGCCATGGCCAACTATGAAGAACTCATAGTTAGTTTATTCTCTGGAAGAATCTGGCTTTGGGTGCTAAAATAGGCAGCACAAATCTGTGTGTACTTGGATGACTTGAGTTGATATCCTTTTATAACTTTTTTTTTTTTTTGAGACAGAGTGTCACTATATGGCCCCTGGTAGAGTACCATGGCGTCACAGCTCACAGCAACCTCAAACTCTTGGACTTAAGCAATTCTCTTGTCTCAGCCTCCCAAGTAGCTGGGAATATAGGCGCTCATCACAACACCCAGCTATTTTTTTGCTATAGTTGTCATTGTTATTTAGCAGGCCCGGCTGGGTTCAAACTTGCCAACCCAAGTGTATGTGGCCGGCACCTTAACCACTCAGCTACAGGTGTCGAGCCCTTTTATAACTTCTTATCACTCTCCAACAAAAATGCTTTCCCTAATAAGTATTTTGGTCTCTCCTTTCATTCAGAGAGACCCAGATGGAACAGCCACAGCAGACCCCTGTCCGTTTGCTGCGGGCGTGCTGATGGGCACAGCTGTC